TAAATAAATAAATAAATAAATAAATAAATAATAAATAAATAAATAAATAAATAAAATAAATAATAAAAAAAAAAGACTGTCAGAAAGCTTGTTTAAAATAGATGTGTAGACTGAGGGTTGGCGAGAAATAAGAATGCACCGGTGGGCTGGGCAGCTTTGAAAGCAGTGAATAGAAATTTATATTGACCTCTCGATTAATTGTTGACAAGAGCCTTAGTGCTGAAGGGGATTTTTTTTTTTGGCTGGTGCGGAATCCAAAGCCTTGTCCTTGGTGGTATAACACTGTGTTCTACAGGGAACGTTTTAGAGATCATTTAGTTAGCCACCTTCATTTGATAAATGAGAAAATAGATATTCTAGAAATGTGAAATGAATTCCTCAGCATCACTCAGCAACATTTTAGAACCAGACTGGCCTCTCTCACAAACAGCATAAAATGACTACTCTTCCTTCTCAGCTTCCTGTTTTAAACTTTCCAGGATAAATAATATGCTTCTTTTCATCTTAACGATCCAAAGATGACGATTTTTAATCTTCCCTAATAGTACATGTCTTTTTATTAAAATTCAGAAGTTGAAGTCTTTACAAATAGCAGCCACAAGGCTATTAATTTTATTAGTCTTTTTTATTTTTAATAAAGCGCCACCAAAATATGTTAAAACACATCACAGGAATTTTCTTAGGAGGATTATAATATTCTTCATTTAAAATGCTAGGGTCTTTATATTATTGCATTTAACCCTAATAATAAGATTAGGAGGCAGGCTGGCCCTGAGTTAAATCACTTACCCAAGATTATGTTGTTGACTTCAGAGCTGGTCAGTGGCAGAAACCCAAACCCAAACCCAAACCCAAACCCAAGCTGCTCTGATTTGAAGTTCTGTGTTTATATAACACAGAAGATATCCACCTTCTGGAAAATGGGATTCTTTATAGCAGGCTGTTATGAAGGACTGACAAATTTTAACAGTCTATTGAATCACTATTAAGATTTTTTCCCCCTTGTTTTTCCACAACATCTTCTATACCAGTGCTGTCTGATAGAAATATAATACAAGCCACATAACATAATTTACAGTTTTCCAGTAGCCTTATTAAAAAGGTTGAAACAGGTGAAATTAATTTTAATAACATATTTCATTTAACCCAATATATTGAAAATATTATCATTTCAACATACAATCATCATAAAAAATTATTGAGATATTTTACTTTTTTTTTTTGTACTAAGTCTTTGAAATCTGGTGTGTATTTCCTACCTACTGTACATCTTAATTTGGACTAGACACATTTTAGGTCCTCGGTAGCCATGTTTGGCTTGTGGCTACTTTATTTGATAGTGTAGGTCAATATTCTCAGCATGTATTAATTTTTACTGATGTTTTAAAGACACGGTTCTTCTGCAAAAGACCATAAGAAGTCATTGGTAGCAAACACATACTTTTATTTTCCTTTTCCCAACTGCATTTTTGTTTCTCAGTTTTTTCTTTTATCCTCTAGTCTTTGCACTAGAGCTGAAATGGAAACAGCTTCTTGTACTGAAAGTCATTTTGCTGGTGCCCAGTTTATATCCAAAATGAGTGGGACTTGAGAAAGAATCTCTAGTTACTATGTGAAAGACAAAAAGTTCTTGATCATTTCTTTTCCTTATGACTTAAAATCTCAAATAGGAACTTTTGTTTGACACTTCAGTATATGAAACCTACGATGATGGAAATTACCTATTGCAAGTAGTTTCTAAGCCAGAACTGTATTGGAAGGGAACTACTTCAGCTTTACTTAAGCAGTTCTT